GAGGGCCAAAGGGGTGGTCTTGGCAAGAGCCCTTTAACCTTCAAAGCAAACATCTTGCAAGTACCTATACAACATAACAGAATGCAGGATAAAAGAGCCAGACCACTTATCCAATGATCAGATGTTTGTTATTTGAATTCTTTTTAATTTTTTTTCCTGCATTATTCCACAAAGGATTACAGCTAAACTTAAATTATCAACCTAAATGACCTTATAGTATGTCTGTAAAAGAACAAATTCACACAAAGCCACTTAAGAACATATTCATCAACTTTCATTAGTTTTTCAAATGATTTCTTAAAGCATATTCATTAGCTTTTAGATATTTTATTAAGTTATTTCTTGAGAACTTATATGCCAGTGTTAAGCATCATATGAAAGATACAAAAGTAAGAWAAGACTTCTTATCTACCTAAATTTGTCAGTGAGTGAAGGACAAGGACCGCTACAGAGCAAGAGATGCAGCAAGGAATGAAGTATGTCAGAGCAGGAAAGTCAAGGGMAGGAGGCCCTTCAAGGCCACTGTGCAAGTTAAAGCAGAAGAGTTGTGACCAAGTGAACATATCCAGTCAGCCAAGTGTAGGAGCTGGGCCAGACTCCGGGAAACGAGGGGTGCACAAGCCAGACTGCCCCTCCCCTCAAGAGTCCAGAGCCCTGCAAACTAAACGACCCTGTAGACATGACTGCAAAGATCCTGACCCTGTCCTAGTGTCAACTGAGGGTGAGGACACAGAGTTGAGGAGTGCAGCAGTGGGTGAGGGTGCTTGAGAGCCGAGGGGACAGAGCAGGCTCAGTGACTGCAAGGCACTAAAGAGAGAGGGGCAGCTGAGAGACCCTGCAGGACCRAGAAGGTGGAGCTTCAGCACAACAACAAAGGCACTATGTAGGAATTCATTTGTCATTGGACATTTTTAGGAAGCATAGCAGAGTTTTGGTAGATCAAGACAGTGCTCTCATTTAAGGTTATAGCAAAAGGGATTGAGGAAAGAGGATGGATTTGGCATTTAAGAGGAAAGTATGATCATTGCTATCACCTGCACAGAACTCTTCCCTAGGTACCATCCGAGTACCCTGCATGGATAAACTCACTAATGCTCTGTCTGATTGGTCCATTCTATCCAGGGGAAGACTGAGACATGGGGCCATTAAGTAACTTGCCAACATCTCAGGCCAGTACATATGAAAATCAGGATTTGACACCAAACAGCCTTGCTCACAAGTCCTCACTCTTTCCCTGCACTTGATGTCACAGATCAGGGGACCGTCACAGGCCAGCAATCCCAGCTGTCTTCCTCTTCTGGCAGAGTAGGATTCCAGGGGTACACCACCCCTAGCCTGGAATGGGAAATTCTGACACTTTCCTGCCTCCTCGGAAGACAGGTGCTCAGTGATGCATAAGCCATGCTCTTGACTTTACAAAAAACATGTGCCCACTCCCCTTGTCCTACTTTCTGCCATTTCTGTGCTCATGAAATCCACGCTCACCGGAATTTTCCACATTGTGGTTAATAAAACAGAACAGAAATGGATCCTGTTCCAGCCTCCTCTCTGAACTCCTCCCAAGACTTGTAGGATGCTGCAGCCCTTGGGAAAACAGAGTCTTTAAAGGTCAAGCCCCACCACCCCCAGTGCTTTCTTGTTCCATAGGTACTGTGCCAGAAAAATCTTTGATATCCGTGTGAAGCATATCCCTGGCGCTGTCTTTTCTAAGTTTAAGTTCCAGTGTGGCTCTTCAAATTCCCTTTTAACCTCAGTATTTCAAAATGCATTCTAGTTTTCCTGTGGTAATTAACAAAAATAAATAGGTTAAATTCAATTAAAATGAGAAGAATCAGGAAATGAGCTTCCCCAGAGGCCCCACCGGGGCGTGTGCTGATATTACTTCCTGTGGCGTTTCTGCTTAGAGCCTGAGGGTTCATAAGTAATATCACAGACCTTATCTTTGATGGCTGGTTAAAATATAACTCTGCTGGGCACAGAGATGGCCTTTCAAACTGTCTGAGACTGTGGGACAGAGACCCATGAGTGGAGTTTTATCTAAGTTCAAATAGTCTAATCTCTTTGTCCCCAAATTGTCTCTGATTTAAGACCCTCTGGCTGATTAGCCAGAATATGTCAACAGTTCTCTCCTCCCCTTTCCCAAGCCTTCTCTGAAGACTGATGTTCTCAGAAAAGCTCACACCATGTTGAAGTTGTGCTGCTCCTTTAAATCCCTGAGCCTGAAGAGTGGGGCAGGGCTGGGGTGGAGCTCCTTTGGATTTATGAGATTCACACAATGACAGGACTTACTTTGTGGCACAGGGCCAAGGTGCGAGATTTTTGTTTTGTTTTGTTTCTGGTAGCCCAAGCAGCTTTTGGCCCAGCAGGCAAGTTTCACTCCAAGGCCCCGGCAGGGCTGTGAAGGCCAAGGTCATGATGGTGGTCTTGGGAACTGAGGACTTGGTCGGTTCAGCAGCAGGCTTTGATTTCTAGAGCCCCTGGTCTCTACCAAGGTGGTCACATGTGTACCTGGACAGAAAGAGGATTCTGTTGGGGAGGTGTTTGGGGTGGCTGGCACATGGTTAGTGCTTAAAGCTGTCAGCAAATGTTATTATTCAATCATTCATTTACTCAATCATTTATTATTCCATAAATGGTTACCATGTGTCCCAGATACCAAATCTTCTGTTAAGCATTTAAGGAGACAGAATGAAAGTTAGTCCTGGTGGTTAAACCAGGCTGGAAATGCCTTCTGAAGTTCCCCCTTTGAGTTTCATGAACAACACAAAACACATACACACACACAAGAAAAAAAAAATTTAAAGAGAGAGGTAAAAAGCAGTTTACTAGTCCTCTGTATAGGGCTATTACTATTACTTGCTGCTCTAGGTCTGTGCAACATCTATGCAATAGCTTCCACAGAGGAAAAATGAATGAAATAAATACAGGGTAGACAGAAATGAGACAGCAAGGGGCATTGAGAGAAAGAAAGGGGTAGAGAAGAAAGAGGGAAAGAGAACCAGTGAGCTAATACAGCCTGGAATGCAGAGGTTAGGTCTGTCCAGGCAAGCAGCCAAGCATAATTAACCCTTTTGAAGAGTTCATCATATTTAATAAGCAGAGGTCTTATTCTTTTGTAAGACACAGGGCTAGCAAAGCACAGACCATTGTCACCATCCCATAAATCAAAGGGGAGATTAAAGTGAGGAAGGAGCCAGCCTTTGAAGAGAGATCATAGCAAGAGTGACAGGAACAAAAAAAAAAAAAAAAAAAAAAGATGAGGTCTGTGTTTGGAAATGTTTCCTCAGCTCCGAGTCCTTCCCGTTCTCTTTCCACACCCACTCTTAATTAATAATTCCTAACTTGGAAGTATATTCCAGAGAAGAAGCTTCTACCTTCTTCCTGAGAAGACATGAGTCCTGTTCATCCTTATTATCTAGCACAGGGGACACCTTAGGAAGGGAAGCATTTACATTGAACAGCATCTTAACATTTAGGAGCTTTCCAGGTAATACAAAGGAGAAGGAGTAATCCAGGTGTACCTGAGGTATGGAAAGCAGTTGATTTTTTTTCCAAAAAGAGAAAAGCACTAAAGACCTCAAAACTAGCACCCAGAGAATAATTCCTGGTGCATCTTTGTGAGGTACTACTTTCAGAGGATGGCTGGTTTTGTCCTAGAAAGAATTTTTTAATTTTACTCTTCTGTCAAGTCAGTTAATAATTTCCCACTTAGGCTCTATACAAAAATACGAAGAATTTGCCAGAAAATGTAAGAAAACATTCTTGTCTACAGGTATTCCCTGCAGCTGCTCTAGAGTGGAGATGCCTCCCTAGCTATAAAACACCAGAGTAAAGCAGAGTTTGTTAAACCCATTCATTTCCATTTGGTGCACTTCAGCCAGCACTTCTGTGCTGAAGCACCAGCTCTGTGCTGAAGAGTTCATGATCGTCAGCCAGAAAGGAAGGGGGAAATGCAGCCGACTCTTCTGGCTAAAGAGAAGGGAGGTGTATTTATGAGTAAGTGGGGGAGGCCGTGGAACAAGCAACATGAGATGTCTGCAGGCTTGACCACCTCCCAGCTTTTGCCTGCCAGTATGGCCCTGCACAGGGAAGGTGGGCTGCCAACCTCACAACAGACTGGAGCTCAGTGAGGCCCAAAGGAGCTTGGCTCTGCTGGGAAGTTGTCAAACAAGAAATAGAAGCCAGAAGTAGCCCCCATCTGCCAGCAAGCATAGAGGTGCATAAGACAAGGACACCAGAAGGCTCGTGGGTAAGAACAGTAGTTGAGGGATAATGTCTCTAGAATTCACTTTGTGTTGGGTGCTATGCTAGATGCATTGCAAGTATTACTATTTTTTTAGCAGTGATTTTGACTATAAAAGAATTGTGGAGGCAGCCAAGGAATTAGTAGGGAATAGTACCTTGCAGAAGAATATTCAATATCCATGTGGTTTCAATTTAAAATCAAATAAACCTGGATAAAAATTTTTTTCACTGGCAGATTGTGTATGATAGTTCAGGAAAGCATGAGAAAAGCATGACTTAAATCCATCCAGAAACTCTGCTTTACCCCAGCCTATTGAGGTTGGCATCTTCCTCCTTGCTGTGAAGATAAGCTGCATGCAGGGAAGGTAAAGCCTGGCAGATGGAATGGTTGGCAAGTTCCACAGCAAGTGCCAAGACCCATTCTCCACCTGACAGCTGAGCTTGTGCTCAGTCACTGGCCTCTTCTATTTGTAACTTGAGTGATCAGATGGAGAAAAAGTAATAATCTGCAGCTAGTTAAAACTTTCTTTTCTTGACTTTTCATTTATTCAATAGATAGCTTCTAACATTTACCAGCCACAAGTATCTGTGTCCTGCATTCAGAAGTAGGAAGACAGACTCAAACCCAGTCCCTGGCATCAAGAAGTGTGTTATGACCTTGACATTAAGTTCAGATGCATGAGGACCATCTTCCCATTACACTGGTCATCTCATAAACAATTCACTGTCTCACTGCAGAATCCCTTGTGTTTCAGGGCATGAACTACCTGGAAGACCGGCGCTTGGTGCATCGTGACCTGGCAGCCAGGAATGTCCTAGTGAAGACACCACAGCATGTCAAGATCACAGATTTTGGACTGGCCAAATTGCTTGGGGCTGAGGAGAAAGAATACCATGCAGAGGGAGGAAAGGTAAGGAACTGACTTGTAGATCAGGGAGCATTTTCCTGATAACAGAGACTGGGATCTCAACTGATGTAGGGGATATTTGCCAACATTCTGGGTGAGGTCTCAGCACCACCACAGGCAACTGGGTCTAGCCTGGGTCTTCTGCTTTGGGAGTGGGGTTTGCCTGCAGAGGGAACAAAGATGTTTCTGACATGGTCAGAGGATATAGTCATCAGCATCTCCAGGCGATCATTAACAAAGGTTAGTTCTCAACCGCTCCCTTCAGGACTTAAGCACCCTTCAAAAGAACAGCTGGGAAATGCCACAGCTAATTTGGTGGCACACTGCTGTTGAGAATGTCTCAGAAGTATAAAAAGCTGTCCTCCCTATGTTCTTGTGAGAGCTCCCATGGATCTCTGTGACTTTTGCATAGAAGTGACATTGAGTATATGCTCCTTGCCCTCCATCTGGCTTAGGATGGGTTGTCACAACATTGTCACAACATTGAGAGATACATGTTCTCACACAGGTCCCCCTCCTAGTGGGGACACATATAGCCACACCTCAGCTATATTAGCTGTACCTTTCTTGAGTTTCACCCTGACCTGCATAACTCCAGGCAGTCATCAACCTTGTGACATTGGTCCCTGAAAAAGCACCCAAATGCTGAGTAGCTATGATCACTGTCCACTACCAAGGTCCCCAGCTTACCAGAATTGCCAGTGGCCCCAAAGGTCCTTCGCTGGAGCATTCCTGAAGCCAGCTCTGAGGGGGTACCAGAGTAACCCTGTTCATTGGTGGATTTAAAATCTCTTCTTGCTGGGAGGCAGCCTTTGGCCTGAAGTCCCAGTCAGGAAAGGTAGCCTGGCTTCTCCACTTAGTCATTTGTAATTACTTCTAGTGTGATTTAATTTTGTTCAACAGAGAGAAGCTAATAGTAGTCTTAATRCTTTATCTCTCATCATCTGAAGGTGCCTATCAAGTGGATGGCTTTGGAATCAATTTTACACCGAATTTATACCCACCAAAGTGATGTCTGGAGCTATGGTGAGTCAAAATCCTGATGCTAATGAATTTGTGCTAAGGCTAAGCCGGGTTTTGTTGTTTGTTAGTTTACAGTATAAGCTCTGACATGCAAGTGTTTTCTTTTAAGATAATGACTAATAATAACATGATAGTTGCTCTCTATTATACTGAGAAAATCCAACAAAGGAAATTTAGTCTACTGGAATAAATGTAACTACAGAAATCAATAAATTCATGTGGCAGAGAGAGGGTCATAGGAGGGGCAAAGAACTGGAACTTAGAACATGCCTGTACCTATGAAGTCAAACAAAAAGTGACTTCATGCTATGAATTCGGGGGGTTTTCCCACATTTTGGGGGAGGGACACGGGAGATTGAACTCAGAAGCATTCAACCACTAAGCCACATCCCCAGCCCTATTTTGTATTTTATTTAGAGACTGAGTGTCACTGATTTGCTTAGTGCTTCACTGTTGTTGAGGCTGTCTTTGAACTTGGGATCCTCCTGCCTCAGTCTCCCAAGCCTCTTGATTACAGGCATGTGCCACTGCATCCAGCTTTTCCCACATTTTTATTAGTGCATTTAGTTGGACATGATGGGATCTGTTTTTACATATTCATACGATATACAAATATGTTRTAATTTGGCCAATATCAATTCCCAGCACTTGCTCCTGCCTTCCCTACCTTTTACTTTTTGGTCCCTCTCCTCTACTGGTCTCCCTTTGATTTTTAGGAGATCCACTCCTACCTTTCTCTTCCTGTTTACTCTCTAGCTTTAATATATGAAAAAAAAGCATACAATCCTGGACTTCCTGCATTTGACTTATTTCACTTAACATGGTGGTTTTAGTTCCATCCATTTTCCTGCAAATGCCATAATTACATTTTCCTTTATGTATGAATAAAATTCCAGTGTTTATATATACCACATTGTCTTTATCCATTCATCCATTGATGGACACCTAGGTGGGTTCCATAGTTTGGCTACTATGAATTGTGCTGCCATAAACATGAATATGCATGTATCACTGTAGTAAGATGATTTAATTCTTCAGAGTAAATACCAAAATGTGATGTAGCTGGGTCATATGGTTGTTCCATGCCTGATCTTTTARGGAATCTCCATACAGATTTCCATAGTGGTTGTATTGATTTACAGTCCCACCAACAGGGTAAAAGTATTCCTTTGTCTGCATATCCTCTCCAGCACTTACTATTTTTTATATTCTTGATGACTGCCATTCTGATTGATATGAGATGAAATCTCCCTGTAGTTTTGATTTGCATTTCCCCAGTGGCTAATGATGTTGAACATTTTTTTCACGTACTGTTAGCCATTTGTTTTTCTTCTTTTGATAGTTTGTTTACTTCATTTGCCCATTTATTAATTGAGTCATTTGGGTTTTTTGGTGTAAAATTTTTGAGCTCTTTATGTATTGTAGATATTAATCCTCTATCAGAAGAGTAGCTAGCAAAGATTTTTCTCCCATTCTGTAGGTTCTCTCTTCGCATTCCTAATTTTTTCCTTTGTTGTGCAGAAGCTTTTTAATTTGATGCCATTTTACTTATTAACTCTTGGCATTTTAATGAGCTTTAGGGGTGCTGTTGATAAAGTCATTGCCTGTGCCTAAAAGCTGGAGTGTTGACCCTTATTTTGAGTTGCATAGTTTCTGGTATAATTCTGAGGGCTTTGATCCATTTTGAGTTTGATTTTTGTGCAAAGTAAGAGATAGGGTTTAGTTTCATTCTTCTAAATATGGATAACCAGTTATCCCTTTTTAAGTATTTGTTTATAAGGCTGTCTTTTCTCAATGTATATTTTTGGTACCTTTGTCAATGAGCAGATGACTGTAGATATATGGGTTTTTCTCTGTCTTCTCTTCTGCACTATTGATCAATGTGTCTGCTTTTATCATGCAGTTTTTGTAACTATAACTCTGTACTATAATTTGATATAATTATTTTTTAATATTTCATTTTATTTCTATGTGTTGCTGAGCATCGAACCCAGTGCCTCTTGCATATTGGGCAAGTGCTCCACCACTGAGCACAACCCCAGCCCAAATTTAATATAATTTGAAGTCAGGCATTCTGATACCTCTGGCATTGTTCTCTTTTTTAAAAATATAATATATTTTTTAGTTGTGGATGAACCTTTATTTTTATTTACTTATTTTTATGTGGTGCTGAGAATCGAACCCAGTGCCTTACACATGATCGCATGCGCTCTACCACTGAGCCACAACCCCACCCCCATCTGGCATTGCTCTTTGGGCTCAAAATTGCTTTRGCTTTTCTGTCTTTTATTCTTCCAAATGAATTTTAGGACAGTTTTTTCTATTTCTGTAAAGAATACCATTGGTATTTTGATGGGGATTGCGTTGAATCTGTATATTGCTTTTGGTAGTACTCATGCCATAAATTTGAAGTRAACTAAAGAAAGGCAACAAACAAGGTTTCACGGGAAAGGGTTTCTCAGTAGAGAAATAAGCTTTTCTGATGAACTGACTCTGTGGCTGTTATTGAACGGTGGTCTTTTCATATCTGAGAGAATGGCTCCACAAACATGTACATGAGGATGTCTATGGGCAGGAAAAAAAAAGAGGGGGGGATAGTTACTGCTTCTCCCTCTGGTGAGAACCATCTCCCAGGACCTGATTCTGTTTCCTTCTCTGAATCCCAGTGTAGCCATGCCAGGCCCTGCTCCATCCACACAGGTACTACCTCTTCCCAAACCTGCCTTTTATGTTCTTACTTTGTCCTGAGGCCATGAGGGCCTTACCTGTTAAGAAATGGTCACTGACCCATGTCATTGGCAGCTGTATCAAGCACCAGTCATCTGTTATCACACTTGGTCCTCAAGTTTCACCCAGCAATCCACAGAAAGGCCAGAAAACACCTTATTATCTACCTTTATTTATAAAGTGTCAGCTACACCCAGTTATTTACAACAACAGGGTGGAAGGAAAGAATCTCCCACCTCTATTGAAATATAAATTTGGGGAGAGTGATAGTGAGACAAATTTCCAAAGAAAACTTAGTCATTATCACAAAAGCGAAATAATTCAGATTAGTAATTTTTCTTTTAGCAATTTTACTTTTCCTATAGTGTTATTAACTTGATGATTTCCAAATACRTAACTTTTTTCTCTTTATGATTTCATGAGTATCTTTTCTATTAGAATGGAAGTTTTTCAAAGGCAGAGATGTTTTTCCATGAATGGATAAGTGAATTTTGATATATACTCATGAGCTGGGTTTCCTCAGTTAGTGAAATAGAAAAGGAAATAAGGCTCTCCTCATACCTTGTTGCTTTAAGCACTTTTCAAGATATGTCTTCTCCCCAAGAGGCAAMCCCTGGGTCCTGGCCCTGATCACTCCACCATCCCCATATGAATCTGGCCCCTGCTTCCCCCAAGGAAAGCACAGAAGTAGCTCTTGTTTGTCTTCTCTGCACATTTTACACCCTCGCCTCTACTCTTTTTCACTGTATCAGGCTTYTACTTCTCTGTTTATCATCCTTCTTTGCTTTTCAAAATAAAATCTGAACTCCTAACCATAGCCCACCAGACCATAAATGATCTAGACCTCAGTTTTGCCTGTCCCACGCAGCCATGGTATATGCTTGCCCTCTAGTATGTGCCAACTCAGTCCCATTTGGACCACACTTGTCACATAAATGAGAACTCTCTTGAATTCAGCGACTTAGTGTCTTCCAGTGATCACAAGTAGTTTCAGAAAGTCAAAGCAATCATGCATCTTTAATTGTGTGATTATAATCTGCTGTCGCTGGCAGTACACAGGAGATATTAGACCATGAACCTGAGTTTTCAGTTTAAAAACCATATTCAGGGGCTGGGGATGTGGCTCAAGTGGTAGCGTGCTCACCTGGCATGTGTGGGGCACTGGGTTTGATCCTCAGCACCACATAAAAATAAAATAAAGATATTGTGTCCAGCTAAAAATAAAAAATAAAAATATTAAAAAAATATTCAGTCACTCTACTCTTCAGTCTCTAGTTAAGGCAAAATATTCATTTTAATAAATTTGGGRCATAGTGTGTTTTATTAAGGAGTTCAAGAGAGGGAATTCGCACAGCCTCCTGTTCTTCATGATCTACCACCCATTACCCCACTCCCCAACCTTATCAATTGTTCTCAAACCTAAAAACTGGCCTTCCCACAAGAATTCATTGTGCATATTTAAATGGGAATTGGTGGGACAGTTTGAGAATCTTTTATCTGAAATTCTTGGGACAAGAAGTGTTTCAGATTTGGGGGCTTTTTAAATTTAGGGATTTTAAAAAATATTTTTTAGTTGTTAATAGAACTTTRTTTCATTTATTTATATGTGGTGCTCAGAATCAAACCCAGTACCTCACACATGCCAGGCAAGTGCTCTATCGCTGAGCCATAGATAGCAACAGGCAAAAATTTGGGAATATTTACATAGACTTCACAAGTGGAGCATCCTTAATCTGAAAATCCAAAATCATTGAAATACTCCAAAATCCAAAATTTCTGAGGATTATGTCAGTGCTCAAAACATTCCAGATTTCAAAGAAGTTGGCTTTTGAATTTTTGAAGTGGGGATGTTTAACCTCAATGTCTGCAGAGAACAAGTCTGGAAAAAATGGGTCATTAGACTAGCTGGAGGCTAGGACACACTGCCAGGGTCCTGTGGCTGTTCAGAACCCAGAGCTCATCTGAGAACACTGACTCCAAAATTGACACTGCTTCAGTTTATTTTAATCATGATTGTTGATTGGCTTTGAAACAGAAATTGTGATGTTTTTGTGTTTATCAAAAGGAGTATAAGGCTGGTGCTGTAGCTCAGTGATAGAGCGCTTGCCTAGCATGTGAGGGCACTGGGTTCCATCCTTATCACCACATAAAAATAAATAAATAAAATAAAGGYATTATGTCCATCTACAACTAAAAATATTTCTTTAAAAAAGGAGTATAGGCTTTTCTGGGTTTTTTATTATTATTTAGAAACATGCAGTTTACAACCTTTTTCAGAATTTCCATCTTTAGAGTTCCACAGGTACAAGGTTCGGGGGTAGATGTGTGAGTGTGTGACTCCTACTCCCCAGCAGGATCACTCTTGTGCAGCCAGAATCATCTTTGTCGTCTTCAGTGTGTTTACTGAGGCTTATTTACCATTCATAGCTCAGTTACTATTTGCAAGCATTGTGCTAAACATTTCAGTTATATGTCTTRCTTGATCCTCCTGACCATCTTATGAGACTAATGCCATTATTATCCCTCTTGATATACAGGTAAACTGAAGCTTCCAGCAGTTAAGCAAATTGCCCAATGCTATTGAAACATAAGTTTTTCAACCCTGAGAAATAGTAAGCAACAATGACAACTGAAGACAACTAGATGTTATGATTCTTGTTGACTCACAATGCAACTGCTTTTTTTTCTTGTTTCATCTGCTCAGGAGTCACTGTTTGGGAGTTGATGACTTTTGGGTCCAAGCCTTATGATGGAATCCCTGCAAGTGAGATCTCATCCATCCTAGAAAAAGGAGAGCGCCTTCCACAGCCTCCCATCTGCACCATTGATGTCTACATGATCATGGTCAAGTGTGAGTGACCGGGGTGACCATCCATACCCGCCCGTAGCTGAACCTGGGCACTCAGAGCACCTGCTGCTCTTGGCCAAATAGCTCAGGCTTTTTATTTCCTGAAGAAATGTTATCACATTCTTTGAGGCAGGCATCCAAGTCCAGAAACATCTGTAAAGCATTCTTCAAAAAACACTTCTTTGGGGCTGAGGTTGTGGCTCATTGGTAGAGCACTTGCCTAGCATGTGTGAGGCACTGGGTTCAATTCTCAGCACCACATACAAATTAATAAATAAAAAGGTCCACCAACAACTAAAAACAAACAAACAAAAAAACACACTTCTTTGACTCAGTGAGCAGTGTGACCTAACATATGCACATATTTGCAAGCAAATAAATAAAATGGAAGATTTTCATAAGCCATTACAGCAAAATACTCCCTTCCCTAAGTTGCTCAAGGAAATGCAGAGCTGTCCAACATTTTGAAGCCTGTTACCAGAGAGACTGCATGTTTTTAAATGCCCAACAATGAGTAATCACATAAGGCTGATAGAATCAACATTTCTGCATTAGATTAAATCTTTGAAACAGCAGATTTATGTGAGGTCTTCTGTCTATAGCATTTAAACATCTTAATAGAAATAAGAGTGTGTGATTTGATTGGTGCTTTTATTCTACCAGAATCACAAGTGAACTGGGCTCTGAAGGTAACATCACATGTGTGATAAGCGTTTGCATAAGAGGAGGCCCAGGGAATCTGAGGAAGACAAGATAATGTAAATATTAATGCCTTTCTGAACTTTAGACCACAGAGTTAACCTATTTTCACCGCCTCAGTTTGGGCTGAGGAAGCTGGAACCCAGAGAGGTCACAGGATTTGTCTAAGGTCACATAGCAGACTGACCTAAAAATAGCTTGACATCCTGCTAATGGAAAATAAATATGAACCCTCAAGAGGCATGAGGATTTCCAAGTAGACAGCCTTGCCTCCAGCTTTCTGAATCTAGATTTMGATAGTTGTATTATCCAGTGCACCAGTGTGATTGCCAAAAGCATGCTTCTGTGGAGGGCACTGGCATGGGCAGAGCCCTGGGTGTGATCCTCAGCACTGGAAAAAATATAAATTATCAACAGAAAGGCACTGAGACAGCCAGTCTTGTCCCTTGCATGAATGGTGACTGAGTGTGGAATATAATGAAAGCTTCAGGGTGGAGAAGTCTCAACTCTAAGTTCTGCAAAGCCTTGTTATATCTCTGAATTGAAAAACTACTGAGAGTGACTGTTGAGTCAGTCCTTAGTCAAGACACGCAGGCACCCTACTGTCAGAGTAGGTCACAGATAGCAATTGCACACCACAATGCTTTTCCATCACTGAAGGTGATAATACAAGAATGCTGAATCTAGGATCAACAGATGTATAAAAATTAGAGGATGATATTGTTATTCCAATTCAAAATATGGTGTTATCATGCTCTTTAAACAGTAATTAGTGCTAGCATGCCAAGACTGAAAAGTCTATCACAAAGATTAGGTTTCTTCATAATTTATTTGTCTAACAGGACAAATGACAGTAAAAGCTTTCTTTAAGCAGAGCCATCTTTAGCATTTCTTCCAGAATTCTAATTGCCATCTTTCTTATTGTTCCTTAGGCTGGATGATAGATGCAGACAGTCGCCCAAAGTTCCGGGAGTTGATTGTGGAATTCTCCAAAATGGCTCGAGATCCCCAGCGCTATCTTGTCATACAGGTACTAAGACCACGGTTTGCACTTCCCTTGATAAAAGTTCCTTGGATGAGCATCACATGTCACTGTGCCAGTATGGCCTGTGTCTGGGTCTTGTTATTAAATCCTCCTGAACAGTAGAAGAGCAAGCCTTGGGCACAGCACAGACTGAAGTAAGCAAGGTTCTATGGTGGTTTTCATCCAACTCCATGTCACCATCCTATCTGAACTTTTCCACTCAGACACAGTCTTTCTCTCAGTTCCTTGTGTCATCTCACATTTCCATTCACCAATGCCCTATCTTGGTTCAGTAGAGAAGCAGGACTTTGTAGTGAGGCAAATCTAGTTTCAGATCCCTGTGTCAGCACTTGCCCTCTGCCATCTCCGACACCTCCTTACCTAATATGGGAATAGCAAAACCAAGCTCACAGGATTGTTTTAAAGATTATCAAAATAACATGCAAAATACATTGTACTACACTTAACAGCATAGGATACTCTCAATAAATGCTGCTACTGCTTCCCTTTCTCTTCTCTTCTAAGTTGATTGCATTTCCTATGCATTTTATGATGTGCAAGGAATAATGTTTTATTCTAAGGTGCACATACATAGTTGGAGGGGTAACAGTTATACTTCATAAAACTGCAAGATTTATATTAATACCCAGTTGGCCAGTATACAGGTACCTGCTAACAATGGACCCCTATTCCTGTAGCCAGGAAGTAGACTAGCATCTCTATGGCCCTTTTAAAAAATTTTTTATTTGTTCTTTTTAGGTACACATGATATTAGAATGTATTTAGACATATTATACATAGCTGGAGTAGAACTTCTGATTCTGTGGTTGTACATGATGTGGAGTTTCACTGGTTGTGTATTCATATATGAACATAGGAAAGTTTTGTCTGGTTCATTCTACTGTCTTTTGATGCCCATCCTCCTCCCTTCCCTTCATTCTCCTTCACCTAATCCAATGAACTTTTGTTCTTCCCCTCTACCCCCTATTGTATGTGAGCATCTGCATATCAGAAAGAATATTTGGCCTTTGATTTTTTGGCTTATTTCACTTAGCATAATATTTTCCAGTTCCATCCATTTATGGGGAAATGCTATAATTTCATTTTTCTATGGCCATTTTTAATGGTCTCAAAATTTCTACACCAGGGGGATGAAAGAATGCATTTGCCAAGCCCTACAGACTCCAATTTTTATCGTGCCCTAATGGATGAAGATGACATGGAAGATGTGGTGGATGCTGATGAGTACCTCATTCCACAGCAGGGCTTCTTCAACAGCCCATCTACATCTCGGACTCCCCTCTTAAGTTCTCTGGTATGAATATCTTCTCTCTCTCTCTCTCTCTCTCTCTCTCTCTCTCTCTCTCTCTCTCTGTTTGAACAAATTGAGTTTGAGAGAAAATGACAACCATCTAGTAGTACTCACATCAAGAAAAAGGAGAAAATTTTGACCAAATGGTAAAGCCCAAATCAATCAAGTAAGTTTAAGTATCATCAAGTCATTGTTATTGCATTGCAACATTGATTGTAATCATTGATCGTGATCATTTTGGGTTTGCTGTAGAACAGAATAAAATCAAACCAACCCTACTTTTTTTAAGGCTAATGATTCAAGACAAAATTAAGCACCTTCAAACATAYCCACTTCCCTGAATTCAGTGAGAATGTACAAGTGTACCAGGAGAAACATCTCTGTTTCTTTTTCAGAGTGCAACCAGCAACAATTCCACTGTGGCTTGCATTAACAGAAATGGGGTATGTACAAACACTTGATGACATGAATTAAAATACAGGTCTGAACCACTGTTCTATTACACCTGGAAAATGCTCATCTTAACCCAGATTTCTTTCTGCCTGTTTTCTACCCAGTATAGTTTCCTAGACCCTTACCATAGAGACAGCAACTAGCTGTTACATATCACAGTGCAATTAAAAAATGTGGTTTGTTGGACAAGCAGCATCAGAACCACCTGGGACATTGTCAGAAATGTGAATTCTTGGGATACCACCCAGACCTACTGAAACAGGACCTCTCAATTTGGAGCCTAATAATGTATGATTCACCCAGCCTTCTGAGTAATGCTGGTGTGTGATCAAATATGAAGCCTGAATCTAGACATGTACAGTATATAGTACAGATGCCATTAACCACATGTGGCTACTTAAATTTTAAATAATTAAAATAAAATAAAATATAAAATCCAGTTATTCACACATTTAAAATGTTCAGTAGCCACATGTGGCTAGCAGCTACTATTCTCAAAGAACACATATGACAGGTCCTCTCCATCATGATGGAAAGTTGTGTTGGACAGAACTCTTGATCAGGACTTCACTGCTTGTCCAGAGATCTGTGGCCCAATAGCAGGGGCATGACCTGAGGGCATCTCAGAAATCCATGCTCTCAGGCCCTGCCCCAGACCCACTGGATTGGAATCAGTAAATTAATAGGATCTCGGATAATATATCCACAGTGAAATTTGAGTAATACTAATTATGGTAACCTTGCCTAACTTGCTCTCCAGCAGAATTGTCCCACAAAGGAGGACAGCTTCTTGCAGCGGTACAGCTCAGACCCAACTGGCGCCTTGACAGAGGACAGCATAGATGATACATTCCTCCCAGCACCTGGTAAGTGGCTTGCTCAGGAAACAGTCATGCATACCAGCCTCCTCAGCCCCAATCAGCAGTGCCTGGTCCTTATTCCCTGGAACCTTTCTAGCTGATCCAGAGGCAGAGACTATGGCAAATTTGTAGTTAGAATGAAGGGAGTAAGAAGCAGATAAATACAAAGTGACCAAACATGTACAAGTTCTTTGTGTTGCATTTAAATTGTCTCTGTTTTTTGTTTTTTTGTTTTTTTTTTTTTTTTGCTGCAGGCTTGCTTTAGAAATGAATCTACAGATTTTGTAGCGTTTGAAGCAAATAGCAATATTTCCCGTGTGTGTGTGTGTGTGTGTGTGTGTGTGTGTGTGTGTGTGATACATATATTTTCTTTTCTCCTGGCTCCATTCCTAACTATGAAACATGTGTCTTCCTAATCTAAGCTTTAGCTGCAGACATTCACACTATGTGCACAATTCACACACACATACACAAATGAAGGCAAGCTATCCTCTGAGAATTTTAAATTTACAAAAGATACATGTGTGCATTGCTTCAAGTACAGAAATGGACACAGTTTATTTTACAGTAGCTTCCTTACTTTCTGTGATCGGTTGCCTCATTGAAGAGATTCACAGGGTTCACAATGAGCCATGGAATCCTGCTTTGTTATCTTGGAATGATGCTTTTCTCATTATTTCATTTCTCATTATTTCACTTTTTTTTCTGTTTCAGAATATATAAACCAGTCTATTCCTAAGAGGCCTGCAGGATCTGTGCAGAACCCTGTCTATCACAATCAACCCTTGCATCCAGCAGCTGGCAGAGACCCACACTACCAAAATCCCCACAGTAACGCCGTGGGCAACCCTGAATATCTCAACACCACCCAGCCTATTTGTGTCAACAGTGCATTTGACAGCTCTGCCCACTGGGMCCAGAAAGGCAACCACCAAATTAGCCTGGACAACCCTGACTACCAACAGGACTTCTTGCCCAAGGAATCCAAGCCAAATGGCATCTTTAAGGGTCCCACAGCTGAAAATGCAGAATACTTACGAGTAGCACCACCAAGCAGTGAATTTATTGGAGCATGACCATGGAAGGTAGCATCAGCCATAAAGATTCTAGACTCTTCAGAAACCCAGGACCAAGCCACGGCAGCTACTTCACTCCTGATAGCCATGCCTTTGTTAACTCTCAGACTCGTTTTACCACTGAGCTCTGATCAGCTCCTTTCAACCAGGAAGTGCCCCATCCTTGGATGCACTTTAGGAAGTTGTAGGCTCATTCCTTGATCGTCAAACTGTGAAGCTTCCACAAAAAGGCATCCAGGAAGAAAGCTGTCCATTTGAGCTGACGTTTAACTTTCAGTGAGGTATATTAGAAATATAAATAAAAAAATATATAAGGACTTTTACTGCTTGGGGGTCTTTGGGATTTTTAATTGTCACTATAATTATGATTTAATGGGCTCTTCCAAGGACAAAGAAACTTGCTTGTAGCTCTTGCTACACTGAGTTGATCCAGGCCCAACTGTGACCAAGAAGCATGGGCTACAAGTCTTCCAACTAGCACTTGATTCCACTGGCTCTACTTCAAGACTCTTCCATTGCAAGACAACTAAATATACAAGAAATCCTGCACATCCTAAGCAGGCCAGATTGATTACTGAATCAAATCAAAGCAGGTACAATAGGATAAGCCACTTTGTTCTTTCCTGGGTGAAGAAGAATTGAAGGGGTTGAATTCTCCTTCAGACTTACTTTTGTATAAATGTTTCCATGGTACTACTTCCCATTAGGTTACAGTATTTTCTAATTATGAGTATTAGACTTGTTTATTTTCCATTCAATTGTTTTGAAACTTAATATGCTTTCCCTGTCTTGATGTCRTGACATCAGCAAAAGAAGATGGTACGTCAAAGAATAACTAAGAGTTTGTATTTGGTCCATCAATGTTCAGACCAATAGCCTTTATTTAAGATGTAACAACACCCACAAGAGTACACAAAGGACCATGGTCCCCAAATGTGAGTCTCAGATGAAATGCATTAGGTCCTTGGGGGGATTGTCATGAGACTACAAAAATGATACTGCTCTTAAAACTCATTTCACCTTCACGACTCTTCACACACACACACACACACACACACACACACACACAAAAAAAACTTGTGGAAGATAATCTTTTTTATTTCATTTCATTTTTAAAGTTTTTTCATTTGTTTGCTTTTTACTGGAAGGGTATGTGTCCCTGCCTGCTAAGCTACCCCCAAAACCCCTCCTGGCCCTTCATGAAAGAATATCTAGGCCCTGAGTCTACTATGCAAGAACAAGCACCCAGAATAGGCACATTGTACAGGTGCAGAGAAAGAGAACATTATAAGTTGAGTGGAATTCAAGTGGCAAATGTGAAATTAGAGTTTGAAATTGATAAGGTTGCTTTCATATCTTTAGATGTTTTAAGTGGGGAGAAATTCATCCTAAAATAATGCCCCTATAATTGGACTATCCAACTAGTTAGGATACCAACATTTTCCCCCTAATTTTCTTATCTTTGCAACCTAATTGGTTAAGAGCAATTCTTTAATGTTTTAAACCCTCATTGTTAACATTTTCTCCTTCCATCTCATCAAGGAAGAAATCCCTATTTTAAGAAGTCCACAATATAGTAAGGGAAGTGGACTTATAAATACTACCCTTATAGCAATATGATAAATATTGTATATCAGCTAAATACCAAGAGCACAGAGCAGGCATGAGTGAATTCTTCCTGGGGAGACCTAGAAGGTACATCAAGGAGGTGATATTGCAGCTGGGCCTCTAACATGACCAAAGTCCAAGTTACAAGGGAAATGAAAAGTATATTCCCAGCAGAGGGAATCGCAACCAAGAAAACATTGCTGGAGAAATTTAYGGATGAAGTAGGTTTAAAGGCAATTTCAGTCATCTTGACGTGYTGCTCCTTTAAGCTGGAACTAGGTTTGCAGCATTCCCCAGGTTCCCTAAATGTCCCCTTCTTTTCTGAGCTACCATCTCTCAAAATGATGAGTGAGAAGATTAAGGAACATTCTAAGAATCTGAGATGTGCCATTATCATAAAACTACTTTCATTATCTATTCACCTCAGTACTCAGAATGGAAAGAAAAACCTTAGTCAATGTGTATGCAGACATGGGAAACAGAATGACTCACTTTCTGCTGTCACTTATTTGTCAAGAAGCAGATGATTTGTGAGCAAGAGCAATCTTAAGTCAGTTGAATTGTAGCAATGAAATTCTACTATTTTTGTACTTTGGAATACTTTCCTATAACAAAATAAACTACAAAAACTATTCAAATTTGCTTTTCTTCTCTTTGTACTTCAATTTTTCCTGCATAAAATTTTATTTCTATGTATTCTAAGATTGTATTTCCCAAAATGTTCTGTGTCTATTCARGGAGACATTCAGGCTATGAGAACTGCAGAGTCAGAGCCCTCTTAAGGACCCCAGTGCCTTACTGGAGAGGAGCTACCCATTATTTCCATATCACAGCCCTGACAGTTCTAATCTCAAAGTTCCCTTCCATTCTTGCTCATTGATAATCAGTCCCTAATATATTCCTGAGCATGTATCTGCTAATTCTTCCTCATTCAGTTCCTGGAAGGCCTCTGCCTGTGGCCTTAGCCTCAGATCTGGCCTTTTTAGAAACAGAGTTCAGAGGAAAGTAAGAGTCAGGAACTAACATTTACACCACATCACAAATCTTGCATACATCTTTTCACAATGTGTAAGAAGTCTGTATCATTGCACACTATGAAAAATACTTACCACCTCGTGATTTTAAAAAGGATGAATCTTTCAAACTCTAAATTTGTTGTGAGTCCGGTTGCCACTGTTTTCTATAGGTAGGGGCCTAATGGAGGCACTGTATTACATTCCAGCAGAAGATGAGAAAGCATAGATATTTGTTGCAAGTTATTAAGTTTGTTTTAGACCCTCCACCCAAGCTGCAGACATTGAAGAACCATGGATTATGTAAGTGCAAAAAGAGTTTGTCCCAGGCTGGGATGCCCTTTGGAATTCTTGGTTCCAATCAAAGGATTCTGATTTGTTTTTCTCAGGTGCAGCCAAAATCATGGACTCTTCAGGGTATTCCCCCAGGTTATCCCATTGTGCACCAAATTTTCATGCACCAAAGATTTCAGAATCACTTGTGTAAATGGAATGTCTGAGAGGGCAAGCGTTGGCACTCACCAGTGGGACTCCCACCCACACTCACTCACATCAAGTTCTCAGGTTGCATATGAGTAGGATGCAGTTGTTGCCTGATGTTAACAAGCCAGGTCTCACCCTCACTGCAAACAAGAATCCTGAGAGTTTAAAAGAGATGTCTAGAGTCTCTGGAGACCAATTCAATCAGAATCTCAAAGGTTTTTCCCACTTCGTTCTAATATACAAATCTCCAAGGTCTCCTTTAGCTGCACAAGCCTACAGCAAGCCTATATCATGCTCTAAGTCATGGTAGAATAAAAAAGCCTGGGTAGTATACAGATTCCCATGTCACAGAAAGAAAAATACATAGTTGTCTCTATGCCTAAGACTTGGCCACTACTGACCATTCCAAAAGCTTCCAATTCCTTACTACCAGCAGTTTATGCTGAAATTAGCTAATATCCAAATCTGAGCCTTGATAGCTTTATCAGGCTATCAGGTTATCAAAGTGTCCTTTATCAGGACACTTGGCATTTTCTAAAAAGTAAGTTGTAAAAATCAGCCTCCTTCCCCCTACCCCCACTGAGTGAACTGCTCCCTCTTAAGAGGCAGCTGTTGAAACTGCCCTTAATCTGTACTTTGTATTTCTTTCTTTTGATAAGCACACATTTTTATTATAACACAATGATCTGTTTATATGTCCTTGCCTGAAGCTATAAAACCTTAACTGAACAGAAATCTCTGCCTCTTTTCCCAGCCACACCTGCCATACTAGGGACAAACATCTTTGTACTATTAAAAAAGATACATTCAGACAGGTTTTGAAATGTAAATCTATTTTTGTAACTTTTTTTGCAGAATATTGTCCTCTTTATGTAGCACTGATCTTTGTAAAGTATATTTTTAGGAAACTCATTTTTCTATTAAAGGAAGTACTTTAGAAAGACTGCAATAGAATTAAATTGAAGTTGAAATCTTTGCTTATAAGGGTTAAACTAAAGCAAGAGAAGTCTTTCTTATAAGAAGGTACAGCCTCATTGCAGAGCTAAGTTGGTCGTCATGGTGAATAGAAGAAGCATCAATTCCATATTTATAAAATTAGAAAAGATAAAAAGCCCACTAACTTAGTGTTGATCTGAATCAGKTTCTGGTCAGTCTGTTAATAGAAAAGGATCACTGTAGGGATTACTGTCTRTTTTTACTACTAGAAGAATCCAAATGCATATTATACTCTGATCATCTGCCAGTATGACCTTATAAATGTAACAAAAGCAATAATATAGCACTTTTGGGTTTATATATGCTAATCTGACTTAACACAAATTATTTTGGTTTTATATTTACAATTGATATTCATTTATCAATACAGACTTAGAAGTATGTACACAGCCATAAAAATGTTCAACATGTTTATGACATCTACCAAGACTCTTATCATAACCAACCTAAAGAAGCTTCCCTGGCTACACCTTGAAATCACCTGGGGACCTTTCAAAACCCTTAAAACCCAGCTATATTTGAGACCAATTATACCATTCTCTATGAATGAAATACAGGCATTTGCACTTTTTAAAAYTCCTAAAGTCATTACAAATCACAGCCAAGGTTGAGAGCCATCAGAAGAGCCACAGGGACCTGGACTTACAGGTAAATTCCACAGAGTAAGTGATTCCCAGGCCGAGAGAATTCTAAGACACAAAGATAGCATCTGTCACTGAGAATCAGGAACCTGGACAGAGTTCCCATGATGGCTGCCCATGCACTAGAGGGCAGAATGTCTAACCAGTGGAGAGAAAGCAAAGGAAATATAAAATAGACACCTATTTTTGTCATTTCCTAAGTCTGTCTCTCAATTAAAGGCCAACTGGTAGTAAAATAGAGGTATAGTGACTATTCCTGCTGCTTTTGCAACTGACATTGTTGCCCTCCCAAGTGACCTTTTATTTTCCWGAGTGAAGGATAACCTTGATCTATCAGTTACATTACAAAAGGCAGACTTCAAGAGGATTGGCAAATAGTTGAATGACTTTTACAGAAATAAAAGTGCAAGAGGATTTTTTATACTTTTTTCATAAACTATACCTGGGATAAAAACTGAAGCAACTAATTGTGGTTTTGCTTTTATGTACATCTGCACAGTCACAGTGTATCCTTTGAGGTCCTAAGCTTGTCATGCCTGAATCACAAGCAGAAGTATTAAGAATCCCCACCCCATCACCTAGATAGACATTTTTAGATGCATTTACTTTCTTTTTAAAAAAAAAAAAGCCCTATTGACATGATTTGACTACAAAATAATATTGCTGTATAATCTCTTGGAAATTAAGAGATCCCATGGATCTGATGACTGGTATTAGAAGTGATGATGTAACTGATTAACACCAGACAGCAATAACTTCATGTTAGTAGTATTCAAACAATAGCTTTAGAGCAGCTTTATGTGGTATGTGTTAACCTTGTAAAGTTTTGCAATGTACAAATGGAAAGCAAGATTCTCTTTTGTATGGTTTATACTGTTGATCAGAACATGATTGTATATTATTAAAACATTAGATGTATACTATTCATTGTTCTTTACTCCTAAGTACCTTGTAATAATATTATATTCTTTGTTAACAGTGCAGTGTTGATTTTAGTTATTCACATTTGACCAACTACAGATGTTCTTTCCTAATAATGTTATTATTTATTTATTTATTGGGTATTTTTGCTGTGCTGAGGATCAAACCCAGGGCTTTGTACATACTAGGCAAGTGTTCTACCACTGAGCACCACACCCACTCCAACTGGTAACTTTATTTTTTTTTAATAATTAATAAACTTTATCGTTAAATCAGGTTTAGGGTCACAGTAAAACTGAACAGAGAGTACAAGGAGCTTCATATAGCTCCTGTCCTTAGACACAGCCTCCCCACTCTCAACATTCTCACCTCAGTGGTTGGATAAGGTTTTAATGGGAAAACCCACCCACAAGCCAGTTCAGTGATTTCTTTTGTGTGACTCCTTGGATTCTCCTCACATGCCAGGTACTCTTAATCACATTCTGACTCAAACTCTTCAGATAGCATAGTCATTTCTAGCCTTTTCACACTCTTGTTATAGAGGTAAGCAAACTATCAAAAAAAACCAGGTTCTAGCCAGGTGTGGTGGTGCACACCTGTAATCCCAGCATCTTGGGAGCCGGAGGCAGGAGGATTGCAAGTTCAAAACCAGCCTCAGCCAAAGTGAGGTGCTAAGCAACTCAGTGAGACCCTGTCTCTAAATAAAATACAAAATARGGCTGGGGATGGGGCTCAGTGGCCAAGTGTCCCTGAGTTCAATCCCTGGTAACAACAATAACAACAAAACCCAAGTTCTACACATAACGCATGAATGAATAAGGAAAGTTTTCTCAGTTGTTCTATCCATGAGAGTGAGAGGGGATTTGAACTCAATAAGAAAAAGTAAAGCTCTATCAAGAGCCAATGACGCCTCTGAAGAAAACAACTCTCAGAAACTCAGAGCCCAAGACTAAGGGCTGAGGTAGGAATGTCAAGGGCAGGAAGAGCAGCACACACTCACTGTGCTGGCTTGAGAGTGCAGCTAGCACCTGGAATCAGCTCCCCCCCAAGCAAATGGGATGGTCCATGGAGCTTTCCATTTCTTTGACTTTCCAGTAGATTCTGACTCCAGAGAATTAAGCCGAGGCCCTCCTGGTCATAGCTTTCCCTCCAGCAGCTGGTCACCACACAATGCTCTACCTTGTTCCTTTTACTCAGGAGAACTGAGAGCAGGAAACTAAGCTCTGCTGGCTCCAACCACCCCCTAATGCCTGCACTGTTGACTCTAATCACTTCCAGGAAAGTTGCTGTTTTGTTTTTGTGATGTTCCTTTTTGACGCTGTGAGTCGCCTACGCATAAGCTTAGGATAAACTATAATTCCATGTGGAAGAAGGACTTTAGGATAACTAGGTTCATGAAGAACAAGAAAGTCAGGAACTTTCCAAGTTTCCCCTCTGGGCACAGCATTCAGTATGTGGCCCATCAACCTCCCTGGCTTCTGTCCTCCCTCTCTGCCCCATTGCTATCCTGCTTCCTGGGCCTCCTCACCCTGGCCCCCTGGGAAGGCCCCTGGGAAGACTCTCAAGCACATTTTTAATAAGAATTAAAGCCTTTGATTAGGAAGTTTAGTCCCATATATAAAAAAAGCAAATTGCAGCAAATGAGGCAAACATGAGGTGTATTCTGGGTCCCCAGTCTCCTTTAGCCTGAAACGTAAAAGTCATAGCTAAGTGAAGGTCATGATTTACAGCTCCCGCTAAATATCCATAACCTCATGACAAATTCACTGGCATCATGGTCCTTCTACCGTGCCCAATAATTCTAGCTGAAACTCATGCAGACAAAATTTCAGCCTGAAAGATTTTGCCTTTAGGCCAATTATCATATAAGAGAGACTATAACTATCTGGAGAAAAAAAATATTTTCTAAGAAGAATRGAAGTGTCTATGACAGAGGACTGGGTTGCTCCTCCTGTTTTGTCTTGGGTTTTCCCTTTGGTCAGGGCTTGGACCACCTCTTGAAGGCAAATACCCAAGCTTTGAGATACCCTTGATTCTTTTCCAGCCATCGAGAACCTTCTATCTCTCCCAAAAAAGACAATTAAAACTTGGGTGGATACTGGATGCAGTGACTGGGAGTCTGTAATCCCAGCAACTCAGGAGGCAGGGGGAATATTACAAAGATGCCAATTCTCTCTGAATATTACATAAATTGAATCTTATTCAAATGAAAATTCTGGTGGTTATTTTGGGGAGTATGCATTTTATAACTTGGAATCTTGAAAAGAAAATGTACCTCGGTAGCCAGCAGCATTTGGAAAACAATTGAGTAGTGATAGCAGTGATACATAAATACACCATGAAACTATAATAATTAAACTGTGCAATGCCAAYGTAGGCACAGAAAATCATTAATGGAAAAATTTAGAAATTTGGAAATAAAATGTAGTATGTAGTACAAGTAATATTTTCAGATAGTGGGGGGGGATAAAGAACCATTCAATAAATAGAGTTGGAAKAAAACTTACATTCATTTGAAAATTAGAAGTCTCTTCCTACCTTATTTAAAGCCAAATTCCAAATGGACTAAAAATCTTTAAAAAACAAAACAAAAAACACAAAGGCAGAATTTATGTGAATATTTCTTAATCTTAGGATGGGAAAGTGATCTAAATAGATTACACAAAACTTCAAAGGCATAAAGAAAAAGATTGCCAAGATTGACAACATGGCCATCTAATTTTTTTCTTAGTTTTTAAAGAAAAAATTAAAAAATGCAGTAGAAAAATAAAAATGTGTATGAGGAAAAGGGCTTTGAGATATATTGAAAATAGCCTAAAACACAAAGAGTTCCAGTGAATCCATAATAAAAGTTCAAACATCCTACTAAAAATAGACAATTTACAGAAAAATACAAATGACTAATAACACTTATGGGTATGTATTCAACCTTAGTAACAATCGAGATAATGCTACACAAAACACAATAATTCTCTTTGCCACACATTTTGGTGAGAATTTAAATTGTTAAGTTTTTGGAGAACAATTAAAATTTTAAACACATATATCCTTTGATATGGCAATTTCACTTGTAGGATAAATTATACTAAAATATCACACAATTATACACAAAGAGAGATGAATGAGAGCACTCATTAAAAATTACATTAATATGACAAAAAGGATTATTTATAATGGGAAGAAAGGGAAATTTTTAGTATCTATCAAAAGGGAAATTATTAAAACATGGAATATCATAGTATGGAAATTTTTACAGCAGTTAGAAATGAGATAAATCCATATGCAAAAGATATATCCTACAATATAGTTTTTGTTTGTTTTTCTTTTTATGTGTGGTACAGAGGATCAAACTTAAGACTTTGTGCATGAAAAGCTGGAGCTCTACCCACTGATCTACAGCCCTAGCCCCCCAAAAGCAGGTTGCCAAACAATATTTTTTGTCATTTAAAAAAGCTTATACTTATATGTATACCTGCATGTGTGTGTGTGCTTGTGTACATGCACACTTAATCTGGAAACCATCTGGAAATATTTATGAAAACTCATTAATGGTTGAGACCTCTGATGAGAAGGAGGTGAGATATGAAATAATGGGGTGGCTAGAAGGGAATCTTGCCTTTATATATTTCTTGTTGTAACAAGCACACTACTTTTGGAGTTGTGATGGGACAAAATTCAGTAAATGTCAATTCATAGCTTTTCTCCTTCCGTCCACTCAGAACATTTATCAATTCATTGTTTAATTTTCTTTTCATAATCTCTCTCCCCAGAATGAAATCCTTAGGGCAGTGTCTCTGGGGACAAGCCATCAGTAGAAGAAGAATGCAGTCCTAGGGCAATAGGAGGACAAGAAGGATTTAGGAAGTTAGGAGCATTTGGAGAAGAATGTGTGTTCTTGGGATGACCAAGGATGGCACATGTAGGCACAAGGTCCCTCTAGAGCCAGGGTGTACTGCAGCTTAGGTTGCCATGATAAAATACCAGAGACTAGGTGACTTACCCAGCAGACATTCATTTCTCACATTTCTTTGAAATTGGAAGTCGAAGATTCACTTCCTACTGAGGACTTTTTTCCAAGTTTGCAGATGSCCACCTTCTTGCTATTTCCTCATATGGCCTTTCCTCTTAAGTGTGAGCTTGGAGAAAGAAAGAGATCACAGATGCTCCTTGTTGTCTTTTTTTATAAGGACACCAATCCTATTATGAGGACCCCAGCCTCAGGTGCTCATCTACTTCACAAAGACCTTATCTCCAAATATCAACATCAAATACCACCAGGGCTTCAACGTATGAATTTTGTGAAGACATGAACATTCAGATCTTCAACAGAGAGGCTTCTTTGCTATGTGCAAGAGAATAGAAAAATAAATGAGAATTTTAATAAGAGGATATGTACTCTGTTGTTTGAATGAGATCCCTAAAATTTTAGTTTCAATCTTGTTTCTTTAAATAAAATGCTCTTCCAATTCTTGGCCATGATGGGTCAAAGTTTCAGCAATCACATTTTAAAATCTAAGAAACAAAACAAAACAAAAAAAATAGGTATATTGTTTATAGGTAATAGCTTAAGATTTGGAATGTGGTTTTTAAAGTAAGTTGGACCAAAAGTTTGGTTAGAAAGAGTTTCCTTCAATATATTCACTTCAAGTAGCTTCAAGTAGCACATCCTAAATCCATTCTCAACCA